ACACATACAACAAGAATCTTAGCATCCCATCCAGAAAAATTGAAGCTGGACAGATTATCAGAAATTGCCAATAAAATACACAAAAACAATACACGAGAGAACAATGTATATGCTATATTCACCACAATGAACAAACAGGAGAGATTGTCACAAATAAAAAAAATATATGTTTTATTTAAAAGATTTGTTGATGTTGTTAAATGTTTGGAATCCCAACACTCAGATAATAACAAAGACCTGGGTAGACGGATCCTGATAGATATAAATACTCCTCAGTTCCTGAAGGCATGGTGGGGTTGATTTAAATTATGCATTTTAGCTGCTTTTCATACATAGATCATAAATCATTTCATATTTTCAAAAACCTAAACAGAAGACTGTTTAATTTTAATACTAAAGGCACCAGTCATTAAGGACATCAATTCTCACTTGCATAAAGGGAAAGATATAAAGAACTATTTGAATAGAACTACTGATTGCACTTAAAGAGAAGGACCAATACATTCACTAATGTCTTTAGTAACAGGTTTCTTACCAGTGGGATGTGTGGGTGGTGTAATGGATAGCACCTTGGAATGAGAAATTGGAGAGCCAAGTTTGAATTCCAGTCAGGTTTATTAAATTCACTTACATACAAATACCAATGGGAAAGGTAAGAATGCATCTCCTTCTGTAGCTATGGATTAAATAGTAGGTCTTGTATCCAGAAAAATCATTGTTATTTTCAAAAGAACTGTTATTGCGATATTCACTCACAAAGCAAAAGAATTATTCTTACAATCCAAAATATGTTTTGACTTTAAATAATTAATGAAATTCCACCATCGTCAATTGGGCCCTGAATTATACTAATCATGAGTGAAAGAGAAGTACTGTGCCTTGAGTGCCTATTGAAAGTAAAACTCGACCCAGACCTCAAGTGTAATTCATACATACAATATATTGCTAAAAATACTTGGAAAATAGTTGGTTCCCTGTACTACTCCAGCAAGTACCTCACTCCAATTGCTATCTTTACAGGAGTCAAATCATGCCAAAAATAGAGTACTGCTCCAATATATGGGTGGGTGTTGCTCAGTTTTCATTTTCCACTCTTGATACAGTCTAAAAGTTTCTCCCTGTCCTTGTATGCAATGAATCATTTTCCACTCTGCAACAGAGATGTTGCAAGCATCTCACTGCTCTATCACTATTTCTATAGCAAGTGTTCAGATGAACTACACTCCTAAGCTCCATCAGTCCTAACCTTCACAGATAAGACTTAACATGCCATCCACTTTGTAGTGAACCACCTGCATTCTCTTCATATTCCTTTGGTGAGATGTATGTGGCACTCAAGCAGCTTCTTCCCATGAACCACTGCCCTGTGGAACTGACTCCCAAGAAGTTGCTTCCTTGATCACTGCAATCTTAACCTGTTCAAGTCTAGGGTTAACCATTTTCTTCCACACATATTCGCATAAGCTGTGACTCTTACTTTGTAACCCACTACCATGAGTGGCTCTCGGGCCTTCTACAACGTGAACACTACTGTTAACAAAAAAAAAAAAAAAAAAAAAAAAACCAAAGAGTCAATAAATCATAAAAACATATCAATCAATCATTTTCACCAACGTGGTCTTAGGAGAATCTGGTCCTTCCATAAAATTCCTCCATTGTGAAAAATGATGTGAACTAATTTTGAGGTATAAAGTCTTACTCATGGCTTCCTAGCCTTAAAGGCCACCCCCTCAAAATACTAGTGATGGGCCTATTAGTAAATAAATACAAAATAAAAATACTATGTTTTCTTTATTCTGTATAAGGTATAGATAAATATTTCTTAAAACAACTTGTAACAAACAATATTACTGATGATTTGAGATAATATAATTGACCCACACATCTGAAAATACCATCTCACAATTAAAAAAGATGACTGTTAAGATATTACTTAAGTTAAGTCAAGCAGTAACCATACAGGCTTAGCTGGTTAGTATCACTTAATTTCAAACATTTATTCAGTTTTAATATTTTGTCAACTCATTTGACTGCTTTACATTTCACATTTTATAGCATTTGTCACACATTTTTTATCAGAAAAAGAAAAGAAAAAAAGAAGTCTTAGCTCATGACAAATTTTAAATAATGGTTAACCAAAAAACACACTTTCACTTGATATACGATATACAATATTATAAAATACTGAAACAAAAATAGAATCTCTCATACAAATTACCAGACTTGCCATTGTGAATTTTTTAACACTAAATTTTTTTTAACACTAATGATATCACATGTAGGGATACAAAAGGTGATTATCTCCCTTTGTTTGAGGTGAAGTCACATGGGACATGTGACAGCCGCTTAGTGATGTTACTTCATAGAGTGACAACAGTGGTCAGTTCTTCAATCAGTTTCCAGAAGTCAAACCAAGAAGTTGCTTTTTTAGCACAGGAAAGGCTCTTGCCTTTCCCAGATAGAGGCAAAATCTGCCTCCCACTTTGTGTGTTGTTGTATACATGTTACAGTTACTCTGCATAAGACACATGTAAATATGTATATATAATTTTGTGTATGACTTAGCAGTATAAAACTCTTTCTAAGAACAAAGCATGTTTGTTACTCCTTTTCTTTCAGATATTCGGGTTCTTTTCATAACATAAGGTGTTATATCATTTATATAATAATGTGCATAATGGTAGAAATGTGAATGGGAGAATATTCCTTACTGAATTACCTGACATGTGATATTATTAACACCCATTACACATATAAATGAAGACATGTTAATAATTTATAAGATGAAATAAGGAAATGCTAAAAATATTTTTCTATAAAATGTAAAGTTAAATTCTAAGACACATTCTGTTCAGGTTCCAACAAAGTAATCATAATATTAGTTATATACTAATGAAATTCATGTTGGATTAAATATACTAACAAGTGACTAAAAACAAAAGGAAAACTTTTCTTAGTCAATACATTATGTCCTCTGATTGACTTTATCAACTAATATGTAAGGATTTTATTTTTTTTAAAAATCATTTCATCGCAAGCAAGGTGATAATGCCACTAGGGCTACTTGGAGTGAAAGAGAATGAGAAGACTTTAGAAGAAACTGGAAACCCAATCCTAGACAGGAAACATGGGATAAACCTCTACTCCTGTTAAAAAACTGGAGGAGTCCAACCAGGCAATAGGTGAACATATCCAGTCCAGAAGGTTGTTAGTATTTCAGAATTTTTACATTTAAGAAAACTTATAAATATACTTCAAACTAACTGAAAGTCAAGGTAAATTAAGATGGATACTAAGTGATGTAATTTAATGCCTAAAAAGTGAGAGTGAATAAATATTGTTATTGTTGTTTCAAATTTTTTTTATAATGTAATTATATATAATGTAATTATTATTAATGTTTGAGAAATTAATTTATGCATTATATATTTTAAATAATAGAAGGTTTTGAATTTAATCAATTTCTTTTAATTTTTCAAAATTTTTATTATCATGTATGTTGGCTTGGAAAAGGAGATATTTCTTTCAGGAAAGGAGATATTTGAAAAAAAATCTAAGATCAAATTTATATTTTGGTAAGATTAATTAGTAACACTCTCAAAAATTTTTGTTATCCTGGGTATGACAATAAACTACATCCAGCAGCAAAGACTCTGATTGGGAGGTTTTGAAGAGTGTGGAACCACCTCTTAATTGCTATTGTTCCCAGGTCCATCCTGACACAGGGTGGTAGTGATCCATGGTGGAAGTTGGTTGGAGTAAAGAAACAAATTAGACAATGGTTTGGAGAAATTACCAAAGATTTATTTTCATTTACAAGGTATGAAAATGTCTCTGGTAAGTTGTATAGTGTAGCATTTGAATGCATGGTGTGTGAGGTGTGAAATGAGAGTGTGAAAAAGAAGTGTGCTTAACCTGGCTGACTGCTTGTTGGCTATCGATTTGGGCTTGTTGTATTGATACCTGAGTCTATTCTCTTTCTGTGTTCAAGAGGTTGTTTTCACAGCCTAGTGGTTGGACTGGTAGTCAGCCATGCTCTTGAGTAGCATGTGTGCATAAAGTTTCTCTCTCTTTCTGTTCTCTGTACTGCCGTCTGGCTTCTCTTATAGTCTATCTAAGGGAAATGCATGGACGTAGTTGTAGACATCTGTGACAAATTGAGAGTTGCATTGATAATGGTCAGCACTCTGGTAGTGTTTGTTTTAAAATTTGTTTTGAATAGAGTGCAGTGTGTGTATGACTTAGCTAGGTGAAAATTTGTGTCTTATTAGTGATATGTATTTTCTAATAATTGTATAAATTTGGCTTTAATTTGTTATCTCTAACTATTGTAATAAATTGTGTTTTTCTGCTACCATAGCACCTGTTAGGGTCCCAGCTATGGGCAGATAGTTAACTCCCAAACTAGGGTCAAAACACTATGAAAGTATAAAAATAGATTTTTAGAGTAAAAATACTAGCAATACATTTTAAAAAAAAATATTACCTGCAATACATTTAACTCTCGACAAAAAGCCTCTTTACAAATATATGTCAATGTAACCTGATCTACATACTAATTTCTTACAAAGTATATATATTCTATTCATATGAACCTATCCTAAAAATCTTGTTGGCAATAGATAACCCATTGAGGTTGATATGACATAAAACAAAATAAACCAAACCAAACCAAACTCTCTACTGCTGGTAGCCATTCCACACTGGGATCTAATTTGACACACCAATGGGAGGCAATCAAATTCCTGAGATCTGGTACCTGCTGGAGTCCACAAGAAAGCTCCCAATCCCTATTACAGACACTTGCTCAGGTGCATTTTGTGTTCAACACTCACAGAGCCCACCTGTGGTTTATACTGCAACTATGCTGAGCAGAACTTAGTTACAGTTTCTGGGAGAGAAGCGTTTTATGTAGAGTGAACAACAAAGCGAACATTCTAACCACTCAGTCACATGCCCAATATTTGATTACTACTCTGAGTAGGAGACAAAGAAAAGATATGATACCTCTGGGCAACACAAGAATTGAATTCCCTGACCAGAAACCACCTATCTATCTATGTTCATATTTTGGTCATTCTATTTTGTTGTATCCTTAAAGAAGGTTACAAACAGACAAAGGTGGTACTCGAGTGAAAGGAACAGCAACACAGGCATAGATGAAAGAAAGAGAGGTTTATTGTAAAAGAAAATACGCTACTGAAAGATAGGGAATCAGTTAGCAAGTTAGTAATTCCCAAAGCAAGTCGTCAGGTATATCCTGTGCTCACTATACATATCTGCTGATATTGTCAGTCCACATAGGCAATAGGGAGTGTGGGACATTCCATTACAACATATTCATATCTATCTATCTATCTATCTATCTATCTATCTATCTATCTATCTATCTATCTATCTATCAAGCCTTGAGTTTGATTTATGTTTAGTAAGAAGTTTGAAGTTGTACAACAGGACAAATTTGAAATGTTCTTGACTTGTCTATAGCTGTACACAAATATCTATCTATATATCTATAATTGTAATGTATGTTGTGGGAAAATGAAATAAAACCAATAAATAAAATAATAATAAAGAAGAAAAAAAAATAATAAAAATATAAATTTCCCCCTGATGCAAGTAATAAAGTAACCAGAAAGTGTTTTTGGTCATCTACACAATTTTATGACCCCACTTCCAAAAAGGACCAAACTGCATTTTCTTTCCACTTTCCAATACATAGCTTTTGAACATGTTTTGCAGAACCTCCACTGATAAAGTAAGTAAAACATTTACTTTGGCCATTCCAACTCAGCACAATGCTGACTTGAGCTCAACCATTATAAACATTCTTATCATTACTTACCCTTACTTCTGGACCAGAAAAAGAAAACTAACATACCCAAGAGACATTGAGAACTTTGTTTCCCTACAGTTTCTATATAAAAAAGAATAAACAGTCAGTAGTAGAAACCCAAGTATTTGTTGCTTTCTCTTTAACTGTTTATATATGAATGCATACACATATACAATACACCAACATGCAAACTTAAATCCTATAAGCTTCTTTCTTCTTTTATGTGCCATGTCCCTTCAGGATATAGGCGATCATGGCCCTCCATATCTTCCTGTGCCTTGTAGCTCTTAATAAGATTTTTGTTATTTCTCCCAAATCCTATTCTGCCATACATTTACTCAAGTTCATCAAGTATGTTATGTGGTGCTTCCCTTTGTCCCTCTTTCCCTCAATCTGCCCTGTGAGTATCAGATTCTCCAAGCCCTTCTTCTTCATTACATGCCCCAGAAATTTCAACTTCCTCTTCCTGATGTTAAGTATCAGTTTAATTTTTGTTTCTACTTTCTCCAAAACCTCATTGTTGCTCACATGTTCACTCCATGGTATCCTCAGCATCTTTCTGTAGAACCACATTTCTGTTTCAAGTTTCTTCTTCAACTTTGAAGAGAATGTCAAACATTCACTGCCATGCAGGAAGACAGATATCATATAATAGTTCAATATTCTTTTCTTTGTTTCTAACAAAATTTTCTTAATACTTGTTTCTTAATACTCTGCTTAGCTTTTGGAATGTCTTTGGTCATCCCAAATACATCTTCAGATCTCAGTGTCACACTTTTTGTCCGCTGTTAGAACATTTCTCAGATATTTAAATTTCTGTACTTGTTTGATTTTTGTATCCCTGATTTGTAATTTTCATTTTAGTCTCATCCTTTTGCTGATAACTATGCATTCTGTCTTCTTGTAGTTTGTACTTATAAACTACATGACTATAAAAGAAATGGTTGAACTTCAATTATGGACAGAGTAAAATTGTATTGAATAAGTCTTCACTACAAGGTTAAATGTTTGTCTGTTTTGCTTTATGGTCATGGAAAATTTCTTGAATAAAATTATGGAAATATTATCTTTAAAAAGAAAAAGGGAAATTAAAAGCATAAGAATTAATGGAAGACCATTATAGAAATATTGATCATAAACAAAAATTAAAAGAGACAAAATTAATGAAAGGCTGTTATATCAAGTTATACTTAAATAGTACTTTAAAACTTGTGAAAATTTGAACTTAGAAAACTTGGTTTCAGAAAGGTTAGCAATAAAAATATAAGGTTTAAGACAAACTTCTAGAGTCAGGATAGCCTAGTGAATTCAAACCTCAGTTTGTGAAAGTGGTGACATAGTAATATGGGCTTCAATCTCTGTACCTTCAATCTGTAAACTTAGATTCAGTGGTTGATTCATTTTCTATGACTTATCCACCCCTTGTAGATTAATTAATGCCAGAAAATATTTTTAGATTGCAAGAATTTTTTTTTTTTAGATAATAATAATTTAGTGATACAAGTCTTACTAATTAATCCATAGCTGGGAGGAAGAAGAGGCAGATTCATACCTAATCAGAATTTGATAAGCAAACAAGAAATTATAATGTGTTTATAAAATGGGGGATCAATTCTGTATTACAATCAGTATGCAAACTGATCCCTCAGTTTGTGGCCACGATAGTTTCTATACATTTTCCAGGGAATGTAAATTAATCTAAAAGACTTGCCTGTGTAGCTAATCAGTATTTCATTGATTGATTTGTTTTCTATGGTTTATCATCCCCTTGAAGGTTATTTAAAGCCAGAAAATATATTTAGATTGCAAGAATTCTTTTTTTGAGATAGTAATGTTTTAGGGATACAAGTCTAACTAATTAACCTATAGTTGGGGGAGAAGAGGTGGCTTGATATTATTCCCAAGGTTATTTATGTGTAAGTGAATACAGGGTGGGCCAAAAGTAGTCTTATACTTAGTAGGTATGTGCTTTACATTTAAAAAAAATAAAAATTTTATTACATTTATATTTATTTGTTACAATCATCACCCTTGCATGGAGTATTGCTGTCATATATGGTCTGGAGCCCCTTCTGTTTGCCCTGGGGTTCTTGATAAGCTCCAGAGGTGGATATGCAATATAATTGGCCCTGTTCTGGCATCTTGTCTACAGTCACTCTCTCACAGACGTGCCGTCGTCTCTCTCTGTCTTTTTTACAAATACTTTCATGGTAATTGCTCTGAGGAGCTGCATTCGCTGGTTCCCAGACTTCATGAATTCAAGCGCCCTACGAGGCTGGCATCCCACTCTCACCCTTTCACTGTTGAAACTACTAAATGTAGTCGTCTCTTCTACTCCAATAGCTTCATGTCTCGCACCTCTCACCTGTGGAACTCCCTTCCCTATTCCAGTTTCCCCGAGAGCTATAATCTCCAACTATTCAAATGTAATGTCAATCGACATCTCCAGTTGCCTTGATCTATCCACTATACTTCTCCTCATCCTTTCCTCTATTACTCCTATCTGATCTTGCTCCAAATCTTCTGTAACCCCTTGCGTTCTAGTGGCTTCTGGCCTTGCTTGGGGTGAAACACTTAAAAAAAAAAAAAATTAAAAAAAAAAATATTTGTTTAAAACTATTTATGTACATTTGTTTAACACTTTAAATTTCTCTCATAAACCTTTTTACTATACCTGTAAAAAAGAAATCCATTGGAGTTAGATCAGGTGTCAGGTGTTAAAGAAAGTTGAGAAGTGATGTACCACATGTTGAACTGTTGATAAAGGTTTAAAATATATATTAACATTTCTCATGGGCAATTTTATTAATAAATACTTTTATATCAACATTAAAATAAAACAAAGATAACACAATCTCTTATGATTTCTGATGATATGGGCCAAAAGCAGTCTTACATTTAGTAGTATGCACTTTATATTTAAAAAAAAAATTATTATATTTATATTTATTTGTTACAATCATATTTGTTTAAAACTGTTTATGTACATTTGTTTAACACTTTACTTACATTTTTTTAGCACAGTTTAATCTCTTAATTGCTTGAAATGTCCTCCTCTAAAATTGGAACATTCCTCGAACCTCTCCAGGTCACTGTGACACACAATGTGGCACAAATCCTGATCTGCATCAATTTCAATAAATACTTCTGAGATGTACTCTTTTAATTTGTCTACTGTGTGGGGATTTCTCTCATAAACCTTGTTCTTTTACTACACCTCAAATAAAGTAATTCATTGTATTTAGCCAGAACATGGGTGGCATTCAATGCTGCTCCATCTTCCAGATCAATACTTTAGAAAGGTTTTGTTAAGGTAGTCCCTTATTGCTAAAGCATAATAGGGAGATGGAATATTGGTTTGGAATTACGATTTGGATAAATTAGATCTAAAATGTGAAACAAATAGTAAAACTAGTAAGCCTACTTTTGGCCCAACCTGTATAACGAACCCAACAAGAATTGGATTTCAGAGACATTATCCATTATACCATCTGCACATCAAAGCTTAGAGCACCTGGTATTCCTAAGCAGTCACCCATCTAAGTACTGACCAGGTTCAACATTGCTTAACTTCAGCAATGTTTCAATGTGATGTGGCCATAAGCCTCAATGGAAACAGTTTAAGCAATAACCGAGCAGTTTTGTTTTGTTTTGTTTTACAACATATCAACCTCAATGGGTTATTTAATGCCGACAAGATTTTTATTGCTGGTAATATTTTTTTTTCAAAAATGTATTCCTGCTATTTTTTTTTTTCAAAAATGTATTGCTGTTAATAATTTTTTTACAAAGTATTTCTGATATTAAAACCTATTTTTAAACTTTCATAGTGTTTTGACTACATTTTTTGGAGTTAACTATTTACCCATAGTTGGGACCCTAACAGGTGCTACCACCCTGGGTCAAGGTGGACCAGGGAACACCAGCAATTAAGAGTAGGTTCCATGCTCCTCAAAACCGTCCAGCCTTGCTGTTGAATGTAGTTTATCATCTTACCCAGGACACAGATATAGTTTATCATCATACCCAGGATGGTAACTGAGTAGTACTAAAAAGAACAAGAGAAAATATCCCTAGGCATGGACAGTGGAACAAGAACAATTACATGCCATAGATTAAATAAAGGATTTCATTTGATATTCCCTGAAGGTTAACCAGATAGAAAGACACCTGAAGAAGACTGGAGTGCACAATGGCCGAAACGCTGTGATAATAATAGTAAAGATGAACAAATTAGTCAAAATGTAAATAATATAATGATTCACAAGAGATGAAGCATATACTTTTATTTCTATATATATTCTCATATCTGCTTAGTTTTTTTATTTTATATCAGAAGATTTTAGGGTGAAAGTTGTGGCATAAAATTCAATCCTAGTCATCACTAATTAGTATTATTTTGTCTTTCAAAATAAACAACCAATGTAAACAAATGCACCTACAAATCAGTACCGAAAAAGTTTTAAGTCACATAAGGCGGTAATATTCTTTTTCTTGTCTTTCAGTTAATTATTTAGATATACTGTGGTGTATTATAATGGAACCCATATCTTTACAGAGATATAATTTTATATCATACAAACAATATTCAG